ATAAAACGTTCCAAAACAGCCCCGTACAGCTCATACAAGCAGTTGTGCGTCCGATACACCTCCTGGAATGACTAAACCCCTCCATCAGCAACTAGTTTGCTCCATCAGCACCCAAGGATCCGAAGACGAAGACAAGCTATTGCCCTGCTACATGGCCTTGTCTTGTGAAGATGAGTATGAAGAACAATACTCTGAAGATGCAAAGTATGGGTTGTTTGTAGAAGATCCAAATGCAGGATTTTCCTCAGAAGACAGTACGGGGGAAATTCAATGGATCACCAACAACATCAGTAGGGAGAAGCTCATAGAGGTTAACAATATGGTCAGGACATTCCCTGTTCACCTAAGCTTTGATGAAATCTGGGAGTTTGGTCGTTTGCAAGTCTTTTTCAGGTACTGCAAGTAGTCTAAAGAGGATATGCATAGATACTTTATGCGAGCTCGATACATGACATCACCAGAAGCAGCTGTCTATGCGATCCACCTTTAAAAACCTGAAGAATGTAGCCACTACACCAACAAAATCAGCAAAGAGAAGCTCGATGAGTTCAATGAAGTGGTTCGAAATTTACCTGAAGGAATCACTTTTGCTAGAGCTTGCAAGGACTTCATGATAGGCCACTACTTCTGTGAGAGCAAGGAATCAATCCCCGAAATAGAAGACTTGTTCAATCATGCCAGAAGAGGTAAACCTGTTCGAACACTTCACAAAATTGGAGGTGCAGGTCAGTTTCTCATCTCTTGTTCTATTAGAGGAGAAATGTTTAAAAACGTACTTTGTGATTCTGGAGCTTATCTTAACATGATGTCCAATCCAATTGTTTTGAGACTTGGTATTAAACACCTGCGCAGGACTAGAGCAAGGATTAGTCTAGCTGATGATTCCAATGCAACACCTCAAGGAATAGCTCATGACATTCCTTTGAGAATAGGAGATTGCATCGTGCCAGTCGACTTCTACATTGTCGAAACAAGAGACGCAACACATCCACTGATTCTCGGATGGTCTTTTCTAGCAACTTCGGAGCTATAATGGACTGGCCAAACCGGAGGATTTCATTTGCTAATATCGACAAAGATGTCTTCATAGAAGCTGTCCCATACAACAGCAAAGCAGGAAAACGTTCTGCAACAGAAGAGTTTGAAGAAGAACTTTGGAGTGACGAAGAACCTGCTAGGCAAAGCAAGAAGATGTCGAAAAAGACTTGTTTCAGGACAAGATCTTCTTCATTGGACTAAGCCACGTCCACCCAAAGTTGAGCTAAACGACTTAAAGCAAAAGCGCTTAATGGGAGGCAACCCATTTAGGTATTGTTTTCTTTACGATTTTTCTTTCTTTTTCTATTGATTTTTTTCTTTTTTCTTTGTTTCAGGTGTTTTTTATAAAACAAAAAGCCAAAAAAATCAAAAAACCAAAAAAACCAAAAAGAAGGATGGTCCCTGACTCGGCCCCATAGGAACCAAGGAAAAGCAAGAACAGGCCGCATACTAAGCCCCCGCGGTCGCAGGTGTTCTGACTACGGTAAACACCACTTCGACCGCGGCCGTGTCTTTCTGACCGCGGACGAGCACCCGTTTGCCGCGGTCGCGTGAGTCCTGACAGCAACAGATGGTCGTTCAGATTATACCTGACCCCAAACCACCCACTTCACCTCATTCCACCTCACCAAGCCCCACTCCACCTCATTCATCGCTTCCCACCACCTTCCATCACCACCTATTACCTTCCCAAACCTCTTCGAATGAATCCGGTCCATGTCCACCAGCATCCCGGATCCAGGTAAGTTCTCTTTGGCCTTACCAGTTCGATTATCTATGCATTTTGTCATCCACTCTCGACTTGTTTCACACTGAGGACAGTGTGATTTAAGTCTGGGGGAGGATTTCATCCCTTTCTAACCACTTTTCTTTCATGAGTCTTGCATTATCTACACTTTTTGCATTTTTCCTTAAAGTTTTTCAAAATTGATTTTCAAAACAAAATACGTTTTAAAGGGAATGGTGAACATGAATCAATGATAGTTGACTGTGTGCTTTTAGACTGTTCCTAGTGACATGCTCTTTCATGATTTAGGACTAGACTAGGCGGTAGCTAAACATATTTGAAACGAAGTACCCCAGAAGAATTTGAATGATTTCGATTTAGATGAAGGAATACACTAGCTCTGTTTTATTTGGACTTAACTTGGACTTAATTCTCTCATTGAAGCATTAGACTAGGGAAACAAATCATACATTCAGGGCTCCTTTACCCTTTTTACCACTCTCTGTTGCTCCTGAATGGCTAGTTCATCTTTAGCTAGTTCCCCACCTTAACCAATCCTCTTTCAAACCACATGCACTCTTGTTTTCTATTGTCTTATATGCAGATATGTGTAAAAAAGTCAGAGCGAAAGAGGAACGATGCAGTTTTCAGTCACCAAAGACAGAGACCTGCGATTTGCAGGAAAAGTTTCCGGAAGGATTCAACACATGAGAAAACTCAGTTTGCCTTAGAAAAATCTCAAATTTTGGTACAATCTCGTCCTCTAGTCTCTCTCTCTTTAAAAGGCATTTTCTTTCCAAAAAAGAAAAAAAAAATCCAAAATAGGAAAATAAAGGAGATAAAAGCCTTAGAGAGTCTAGAGAGGTCGAATTTTAAGTCCCAAGGCAACTAGAGTTCGATTTTATGGAGTTTTGGAGATCATTTTCTGATTCTCAGAAAGAATATAAGTCTGGGGGAATAGTTGTTCACAACAAAGGAGGAAGGATTATGCAACAACATTGGGCAAGAAGAAGTGACTGAAAATTGCGGTCATTAACAGGTCCTTATCTCTCTTGCGGTTTTGCATATTATCTTGCATCCTCCAGATTCATCAGGTAACCCAAAACACTTTAACTCGACCACTTAAACAGCCCTTTAATGCCAAACGCCATCTACCTTGGATGATGTCTTTAACGAGAATTCACTATTGCACTTAATGAATGTAGAGAGCTAGTTGACTGGAATCGAGATGAAGATTATTTAAGTTTTGCATGACGGAAAAAGTGGACTAGTATCTTTTGTGTCTTGGTGAGAATTTTCTAGACTAAGTTGTGGATTGATGCACAATCTTTGGTCCTAGTTTAGGAATTCATGTCTCTGAGATTTGTGCATTTCCTATTTTTTTTTTTCACTTAACCAGTTTAGACTTTTGCTTTGTTTGGGGACAAACAAAGGTTTAAGTATGGGAGAGTTGATAACACCGTATTTTGACCACTTTTATGATCGTTTTGAAATGCTTTTTCTATATTTTTAATTGCTTTAAGTACTTTTATTACGTTTTTCTAGTATTTGTAGTACCAATACTCTTTTCAGGAAACTTAGGGAAAAGCTTAACAAAATGGATAGAAGACCAGATTTTTAGCACAGAGTCAAACCGTCAGAAGTTCACCCCTGATTGAATGCCTTCTCACCATCTGATCCAGCTCAAATTTGGAGATCTCAAAGATGGAAATATCAGCTTTCCAGCACACTTTACAGCTTGGCAGTCCAACGGTTCAATCAAAAGATACCGAAGAGCAAGATATCCCGTAAACCAGCCGGCAAGCATTTCCACCCATGGCAAACAGCCATTTCACCACGGTCCGAGGCTTCCCGACCGCTGCCAACCATCCATTCCCCGCGGTCACGCACATCCCGACCGTGGCCAGGCAACTCTGAACTCGAAGCCCAATTTCTGAAGCCCAAAATGATTCCCTTATTTGGAGAAACCCTAAGTGACGCCCAGAGATGTCTTTAGCACTATAAATACATGTTTTAGGAACCCTAATTTGTATCATCTATCATCACCTCATATGCTCTTATTGTTTTAGAATACTTTTTAAGTTTTAGCTTTTAGAGAGAGAGAGATTTGTGTTTTGAACCCTTGTTCTGTCTTTTTCAATTTCGACTATTGCTCTACTTTTTAATACTATGTTTTCGATTTCGTTCATCATGTCTGAGTAGTTTTATCTTTGGGTCTAAAGGATTTTCGATGAGGATACATATGTTCGATGAGGATTTCATGAGCTATTGAAGCCGAATCTTAGAACTTTTTCTTCTGGATTTACTTTTACTGCATGAGAGTAGCGTCATCAACTACAATCAGATCCAGATGCTTGGTGACACGAAAGTGTTCATCCGGTGTCAGATCAACTTTGGGAGAGAAAAACAAACATAGGAGAGGAATCCTACCTATGGGCGATTTGTGAATGCATCTTTTCTCTTCTAGTGCTAGAGTGGAAACCTACTAGTCAGGGTTGAGAGAGATAGTTGTCTATGATCACGACAGTGGCATATTCATACGTCCGTGACTCTAGTTCGAAAACTTTAAGCTAATATCTTATCAAATTTACGCTCTAGAAATTTTTTGAATCGTTCATACCCCTGAGAAAGCTTCCCTGAAACTCAGCGCTTCTTTTCTATATATTTACATCGATTTTATTTCAAGCTTTAGTTCATCATTTTCATTCTCTTAATCGATTTTCATTCAAGCAATTAGGTTTAGCCGTTTTCTCGTTTTTAGTCAATTTCATTAAGTTTAGTTATTAGGTCATTTTAATTACCGTATTTTCTCGTTAAGATTAGTTTTTACGTTTTAAAGACACCACCAAAACCCTCACAAAAATCGTCTGGTTCTAGACTTCCTTACTTTATATTTCTTTCGAAAGCTTTTACAGGAAAGGTTCTCCTTCCCTGTGGATTCGATCCCTAAGTACTACAATCGATCATCTGTGCAGTTGCGGCTATTGATTTCATTTAGGGTAAAACCTGACACCCTCACCACACAAACACATCAAAAACCATGTAGACAAGTCGGAAAATTCAACCACGAAGGGATCCAGAGCCAAACCCAGAAATCAATCCTGAACCCGAAAGAGGTGATGCCAGTGTAGAATAGAGGGCTAATGTCAGTGTAGAAGAGACTGAAATAGTTGGTGGAGAAGAGAGAGCTATGGGCATGAAGGAAAAGAGACAGTAGAATCAGATGCACGAGAAAATGTCGAAGGAGATGATTGTGAAAATATTTAAAAAGATGCACCTGGATATAGAGAGGTTGAGCCAGAATTGGCTGAAAAATAACACTGCTGACAGGTTTGTGAATGTTCAAATCTGTGATTATGGTACTTGGCTTTCTCATTTCAGAGAATCTAGTCGTGAAGATGGAGTTGAGGATGCTGATGTTGATGATAGTGGTGATGATGTTTGGAACGACGATAATATTTCAGATCCGTTAACAGATGATGAAAAGGAAGTAGAGGGTATGCCAATGACTTGTCATCCAGAACAGATCTTTGCACTCGGGAAGTGCTTCAACAATGCTGATGAATTCAAGAATGCACTTCTTAGGTATTCTTTGAAGACTAGTGATAGGCTTGGTGCTAAGTGCACACTGAACAAAAAACGAAAAGTTTCCTTAGAGAGTGTATTGCTCCTTTGAAAGAGGCAGGAAAAAACTGATGGTCAAGGTCTTTGTAAATGAGCAGACTTGCTGCAGGAAGGGAGGAACAAAGCTGTTGAAGCGTGGTGTTATTCCTCAATTGTATGAAGAGAGGCTGAGTGTCATTCTGAAAATCAAGTCACAAGAGATGGTTGATGAAATCAAGAGAGAATACAATATGATTGTTACTGTGAGTCAATCTAGGAGAGCAAAGTCTGTACTTGCAGCTCAAAGGAAGGCTTCTCATGAGTCTCATTTTGCTAGATTATGGTATTATCAAGAAGAGGTAAGAACATCTAATGAAATGGAAGTAGAGACGATTCCTGGATCAGTTCCTGGAAGAAAGAAAAGATTCCACTGTCTCTATATGTCTGTTTTGCTGCATTGAAAGAGTCTTCGAAGTAGTATTGTAGGCTTATCATCGGATTAGATGGAGCTTTTATGAAATGGGATAATAAAGGCCAAATGTTAGCTGCAATTGACAGAGATGGGGATAATAGGATATTTCCTATTTCTTGGGCGTTGGTGGAAGTGGAGGACAATCCTAATTGGTTGTGGTTTGTGCAACTTATAAAAAAAGATTTGGATCCTGAAGATGGAGAAGAGCTTACAATCATCTCTGATAAGCATAGGGTATGTAATACTAACAGTTTTCTTTCCTTGTTTTCATGGTATTTGATTTATAATTGTTTCTATTTTTGTTTGATTTATGTTATAGGGTATTCTAAATACTGTTCATGAAGAACTTCCTAATGCTGAATATAGGATGTGTTCTCGACACATTCTAGAAAACTGGAAGAAGACATATACGGACATCGAGCTTGAGCGTCTGTTCTGGAGAATAGGAAGGAGCTACACACCTGAGGTATTTGGAGATAACTTAGAAGCCCTGAAGAAGTACAACGTAGGTGCTTTTGAATCACTCCAAGTTACTGCACAAATAACCTAGACTCAGACATTTTCTAAGTTGGGTTCTTGTTGTAATGACAATCTCAACAACTTGTTAGAATCTTTCAATTTGAAAGTTAGGGAGTCGAGGAGACTGCCGCTGCTTGAGTTCTTGACTGAGATCAGAAGGAAAGTTATGGAGAGAAATGCAAAGAGAAAAGCTTCAACAATCAGGTGGAAGAAAAGATTCACACCGAGAGCAGACCGAGAGATTGAAAGCAATAGGCAGAAAGCTAGAAAACGCATAAGATACATGACCACTAGAAATCAACATAAAATTGACTTTCATGGGTGTGCTTGCTCCGTTGACATGGAAAAAAAAACCATGTGGATGTGGTTACAGGCAATTGAATGGCATACCTTGTATACTTGCTATGTGTGTCATCACTAACTTAAGGTTAGATCTCAATGACTATGTTTCAAATTACTACTTGACTTCAAAATGGCGTGACATGTATGCTGAGGGTATGAAACCAGTCCAAGGCATGAAAGCGTGGAGAATGTTAGGCAGATTGCCAATTCTACCACCACTATCAAGATTCAACCGTAGAAGACTTCATGGTCGAGCTCGGAAAAAAGGTCCTCAGGAGTCATCATCTAATCCAAACAAGTAACAAGACATGGGTGTATTGGTACATGCTCAAACTGCAAAAAACAAGGTCATAACAGGACAAGGTGTCCTCCATCATCACAAGGTGGAGCTTCTCAAGCATCACAAGGAGAATTTGGCTTCTCTACCTAGTTGTTTTTCTCGGGATTAAAAAGACAATTCTGTGCTGTTTCAGCTATCTTACACTCTTGATTTTAGCTAGACTCTCGGTTTTTTTTTTGTTTTGCATGTTTCAGCTATCTTTGACTGAATGATATCTCTTTTGTGATTTTATGGCATGTTTTGACATGTTTTCGGGGCTAATTTTAAACTGTTTTAGACAAAATTTAAGTTTAAATTCAGTTATCAATTACAAGAGTACAAGTGAGAAAGAGAGAAGGAGAGCCAAAACAAAATCAATTTAAAGTCATGTTATGTCATTTGAAAACACAAACTACATTCAATCTTACATCACAGACAAAGAAGAGTACAAAGAAAAGCCAAACCAAGTCTTGTCTACCAAATACAATCACCTGTAGCCAAATAGAAGTGTGTTTCCACCAACTTTGTGGGACATGATGTGGTAAATGATAACAAGAGCTAAAACACAAAAAAAAAAAGAACAAGCACCACAATGCTCTTGATTTTGAATTGGCAGAGCTCGGTTTTACACTGTAAAACATCTTCTTTCACATTTTGGATCTCACCCATCAACTCGTTCACACCAACCCTAGTCCCATTACCAATCTCGGACTCTCTTACACCAAGCTTTTGAACCAAGTCTTTCACTGACGCTAAAAGAATCAAGGGTTACTTCTAACTTCACGTTTTAAATTTATAACCCTAAATATCTGCAAGACCACAGATGTACGCTGTAGTACTTAGGGGTCGAACCATATAGATTTTGAGCTTTCAGTACGAATCAATCAAAACTTAAGTGTAGTAGAACAAGCAAAATGGGGGGGGGGGGGGTTTGGTTTTGATGTCACTAAATCTAAATGCAAATGAAATGAAAAGGTTTTAAAGCAATGAGAACTAAGCGCTGGGTCTAAAGGGTTTTCGGAGGGGTTCATGAACTGATCAAAAGTCAAACAAATTGATAAAGGTAATCATCTAGTGAGGATCCCGAACTCGAATAGGCGCATGTATGATTAGCCAACTCTCACCACCCTAATCAACAAATCACTCATCTCGGCAATTAACTCTCACTCTCATGCCGAGAATAAGATCATGCATTAAAAACAGAATTTTCCTCGCTCACGATTCTCTATAGGTAGTTTTCATCTCCTATAGCGATTTCGCTCGATCACTTCTATGTCTGATAATTTGATACAACATTCTCATGGCTCCAATTGCTGAGATCAATTTCTAAGCTGTTAGCAACAGAAACAGCATAGCGAACAAGAATGAACGAAGGACACCTAGAAGATTATAAACCCTAAATCGAACAAAGCATATGATGAAGACATGAAATTCCCTCTGAAAAATCCATTAAAACCCAACTTGGAGATTACTCAGACATAGCTGAGTTAAACATCACAAAAGTACTTAGAATTGCAGAGAATTGAAGTAGACAAAGGTTAGAAACAAAGAACAGATTGAAGCAGGAGGACCGATGGTGCCCCTCTCGGTGGCTCCTCTTCACGGCGAGTCTCTCTCTCTAGGGTTCCTTGGCAAAATGTGGCAACCCTTCTAAATGACTTAAAAGGGGTTTATATAGTGTCTTGAGTCCTCGAGAATGCCTATGGCTTGCAGGAATAATGAAGGGAATAAATTGGGCTTTAAAAAGGACTTCTCAGGCTCGGAAATAAGCTCCCCGCAGTCTAAAATTTTGCACCCACCCCCCCCCCCCCTGGATGATGTTTTGGCCCCCGGAGAGCTTCTGACTGTGTTGATTCACCTTAAGTGCATCGACCATATCTAGAGATCTAACTGTTGGATTGCTTTTATTCCACTTGGATTAGAAATCTGGTTGTCTCCTCTATCTTGTGTTGAAAGTTGGGGATGGTCAGACGGTGGGAAGGCTTCCATTTGTTTCTAAACTTCTGACGGTCTGAATTTATCCAAAGTTGTGCTTTTTGCTTCCAAGTGCATACTTTTGTCAAAATATTCTGAAAACTCTTTTGAGATTCTAAAACAAGGAAATCACTTAAAAACCTTTAAAACTGAGTGAAAACACCTGCATAAGATATTAAAAATAAGATATTGAAAGTGATCCATAAAAATGGTCAAAATCAGGTTTATCAACTCCCCCAGAATTAGACCTTTGTTTGCCCCCAAACAAATTTCGAAGTTAGGAAAGAGGTTTGAAAAATGCAGGAACTACACAGTATCTCAGTGACCATGCTTCTACACTAAAATCAATCATTATGCTCAAGTCAGGTATAGTCTAGAAAATTCTCACCAGAATACAGGCATAACTAGTCTGTTGATCCGTCATGCGGAAGTCTAGACACTTAACACTATCTTCCAGTCAACTAGCTCTTAACATTCATTCAAAAGTTCAAGTTGTTCTCATCAAAAGGACTTTAGTAAAGCAATCAAGGCTAGGTATTCAAAATGGCTCTTTCAGGGTGAGGTTCTTAGTGTTTAGGGTTACCTTTTCTGGAAAGACAATACATTATGCAAAACAGCAAGAGAGGATAGAGCTGTTGATATCCATAGTTTCCACTCACATTCCTCTTGCCTTAAGATTTCTGATCTCTTCCTTCAAGGTCTCTCCTCATAACTCCCCCAGACTTAGATTTTTGTCCAGGTTTTAAAACCAATGATCCACCAATCAATACTTGTAGCCTTATCCAAATGATTTCGGATATCCTAGACTCTTTAGGCTTTTGGTTTCTCTTGAGTGACTGAAAACTATGTTATTCCTCCTTCTCCGGCGTTTTTGCACATATCTATCGATACAAATTAAAGAGAGGATGTATGAGTTTTGAACATAAAGGTTTGGGTAAAGGGTGTGGTGCCAACTAAAAACAGGCCATCTAGGACAACAGAGAGTGGTAACAATAAGGTGAAGATGTCCTAGATGTGTATCATGATGCCTGCTAAAACCAATGATGAGAAAGTTAGATGTCAGGATTAAGTTCAAGTAAAATGAGCTAGTATATCCTGGCAAAAAAGATCTTCATGAATAGAAATCCTCTGGTAAGAGTTCGTAGTGCGAGTATTCTACCTACCGCCTAGTCTAGTACTAACCACAAAAAGAGACCATCATGTAAAGTCTAGAAGCACATGGTTTTGTTTTCGGCATTCCTATTTTGAAAACTTTTTATGAAAAATCTTTTATGAAACACAAACTCAAAATAAACCAAAATTTTTTATTAAATGATGAATATCCTCCCCCAGACTTAAATCACACTGCCCCCAGTGTGAGAAGCCTTTGAGAAGACGGGATAATTATGGATTGAAATTTGGAATATTTTGGTGTACTTACCTGGTGATATTCCGCGGCTCTTGATGTGTTTTTTGGTTCGTGATTTATGTTCACCTTTTATTTGTTCTTCGCTTAAAAACCTGAAATAACAGAAGACAAAAACAAAGGAACAAAAATAGAAAATGCAAATCAAAGGGAATAAGTAAAATACCAAGTGGGTTGCCTCCTACTAAGCGCTTGCTTAAAGTCATTAGCTTGACTTTGATCATGCTTTAGCCTGGTGGATCTGCCAAGAGCATTTCTTCCCTTCCTTCTTCTTCTGCGAGGTATGGTTTGACACGCTGTCCGTTAACGACAAATATATCTCCCTTCTTTCCCCAAAGAATGAGTGCTCCATATGGTTTGACTTCCTTTACTGTGAAGGAGCCAGACCATCTTGATTGTAGCTTTCGTGGAAAAAGCTTAAGACGAGAATTGAAAAGAAGAACTCTGTCATTTGGAGCAAAACACCGATGTATAATCCTTTTGTCGTCATATGCCTTCGTCTTCTCCTTGTATATCTTAAAATTTTTGCAGGCTTTATGGCGGATTTCTTCTAACTAGTGCATTTGAAGCATTCTTCTTTCTCCAGCTGCCTTAAATTTCATGTTCATCTCCTTAATAGCCCATTGTGCTTTGTACTCCAGCTCTACAGGAAGATGACATGATTTCCCGTACACAAGATTGAACGGTGTGGTCCCTAAAGGAGTTTTGTATGCTGTCTGATAGGCCCAAAGTGCATTGTCAATTTTTTCAGACCAGTCCTTGCGATTTACGTCGGTTGTCTCTGTTAGAGATTTCCACTTGTCCACTTGTCTGAGGGTGATATGGAGATGCAACTTTATGCGTGACTCCATTCTTTTTTAGCAGATTTTCGAAAACTTTGTTGATGAAATGGGATCCTCCATCGCTTATCACAATCCAAGGAATTCCAAAGCGAGGGAAATGATTGATTTAAACAGCTTTATAACCACTTTTGCATCATTAGTAGGACTGGCAACAGCTTCTACCCATTTAGAGACATAGTCTACCGCTACTAAGATGCATTGGTTTCCAAAAGAAGTTGGGAAAGGTCCCATGAAATCAATCCCCCATACATCAAAGATTTCAACTTCGAGAATGAAGTTTTGAGGCATCTCGTTCCTCTTACTGAAATTTCCCATTCGTTGGCATGAATCACAATGTGAGATGTAGGCGTGAGTGTATTTGAACATAGTAGGCCACCAAAATCCTGCTTGAAGGACTTTGGAAACTGTTTTGTAGGTTGTGAAATGTCCTGCATATGCTGAACTATGGCATCCGAACAGTATTCCTTCCATTTCTTCTTCGGCGATACACCTTCTGAATAAACCATCTACACATCCCCTATAGAGATAAGGTTCTCAGAAATAGTGCCGGATTTCCCTTAAGAATCTTTTTTTTTTTGTAGCCAAAGAAATGTGGAGGTTCGATGTCTGCAGCTAGGTAATTTGCTATATGCCTAAACCATGGGGTGTCAAAAGCATTTGATCATCATATATGATAACTGGAGTTTCAAGGCTCTAAATGAGGGGTTATCAATCCCTTTTGTCACTTTGCAGTACAAAGGGTATCAATTCATCATGTGTAGA